TTTTTTTCGTTAATGAGCTTTTTGAGTAAAACGAAGCCGTTTAGGTTTGACATTTGTACAAATGCATTCCAGTACTTACCTATTAAGACATTTAGTAGGTATTTGCTTAGTTTTCTTTTATTAGTAACCACCCATATTAATAAAAATAACTAATAACACTACTATAATTTTATAGAAATTATATATTATAATTTAAAATAACTATCAAACAAAATAAAGTAACAAATAGGTAATAATTAATAAATAATATATATAATAAATCATCAAACAATCATTTAACAATTAGGTCTCTTTTTTTCGTTAATGAGCTTTTTGAGTAAAACGAAGCCGTTTAGGTTTGACATTTGTACAAATGCATTCCAGTACTTACCTATTAAGACATTTAGTAGGTATTTGCTTAGTTTTCTTTTATTAGTAACCACCCATATTAATAAAAATAACTAATAACACTACTATAATTTTATAGAAATTATATATTATAATTTAAAATAACTATCAAACAAAATAAAGTAACAAATAGGTAATAATTAATAAATAATATATATAATAAATCATCAAACAATCATTTAACAATTAGGTCTCTTTTTTTCGTTAATGAGCTTTTTGAGTAAAACGAAGCCGTTTAGGTTTGACATTTGTACAAATGCATTCCAGTACTTACCTATTAAGACATTTAGTAGGTATTTGCTTAGTTTTCTTTTATTAGTAACCACCCATATTAATAAAAATAACTAATAACACTACTATAATTTTATAGAAATTATATATTATAATTTAAAATAACTATCAAACAAAATAAAGTAACAAATAGGTAATAATTAATAAATAATATATATAATAAATCATCAAACAATCATTTAACAATTAGGTCTCTTTTTTTCGTTAATGAGCTTTTTGAGTAAAACGAAGCCGTTTAGGTTTGACATTTGTACAAATGCATTCCAGTACTTACCTATTAAGACATTTAGTAGGTATTTGCTTAGTTTTCTTTTATTAGTAACCACCCATATTAATAAAAATAACTAATAACACTACTATAATTTTATAGAAATTATATATTATAATTTAAAATAACTATCAAACAAAATAAAGTAACAAATAGGTAATAATTAATAAATAATATATATAATAAATCATCAAACAATCATTTAACAATTAGGTCTCTTTTTTTCGTTAATGAGCTTTTTGAGTAAAACGAAGCCGTTTAGGTTTGACATTTGTACAAATGCATTCCAGTACTTACCTATTAAGACATTTAGTAGGTATTTGCTTAGTTTTCTTTTATTAGTAACCACCCATATTAATAAAAATAACTAATAACACTACTATAATTTTATAGAAATTATATATTATAATTTAAAATAACTATCAAACAAAATAAAGTAACAAATAGGTAATAATTAATAAATAATATATATAATAAATCATCAAACAATCATTTAACAATTAGGTCTCTTTTTTTCGTTAATGAGCTTTTTGAGTAAAACGAAGCCGTTTAGGTTTGACATTTGTACAAATGCATTCCAGTACTTACCTATTAAGACATTTAGTAGGTATTTGCTTAGTTTTCTTTTATTAGTAACCACCCATATTAATAAAAATAACTAATAACACTACTATAATTTTATAGAAATTATATATTATAATTTAAAATAACTATCAAACAAAATAAAGTAACAAATAGGTAATAATTAATAAATAATATATATAATAAATCATCAAACAATCATTTAACAATTAGGTCTCTTTTTTTCGTTAATGAGCTTTTTGAGTAAAACGAAGCCGTTTAGGTTTGACATTTGTACAAATGCATTCCAGTACTTACCTATTAAGACATTTAGTAGGTATTTGCTTAGTTTTCTTTTATTAGTAACCACCCATATTAATAAAAATAACTAATAACACTACTATAATTTTATAGAAATTATATATTATAATTTAAAATAACTATCAAACAAAATAAAGTAACAAATAGGTAATAATTAATAAATAATATATATAATAAATCATCAAACAATCATTTAACAATTAGGTCTCTTTTTTTCGTTAATGAGCTTTTTGAGTAAAACGAAGCCGTTTAGGTTTGACATTTGTACAAATGCATTCCAGTACTTACCTATTAAGACATTTAGTAGGTATTTGCTTAGTTTTCTTTTATTAGTAACCACCCATATTAATAAAAATAACTAATAACACTACTATAATTTTATAGAAATTATATATTATAATTTAAAATAACTATCAAACAAAATAAAGTAACAAATAGGTAATAATTAATAAATAATATATATAATAAATCATCAAACAATCATTTAACAATTAGGTCTCTTTTTTTCGTTAATGAGCTTTTTGAGTAAAACGAAGCCGTTTAGGTTTGACATTTGTACAAATGCATTCCAGTACTTACCTATTAAGACATTTAGTAGGTATTTGCTTAGTTTTCTTTTATTAGTAACCACCCATATTAATAAAAATAACTAATAACACTACTATAATTTTATAGAAATTATATATTATAATTTAAAATAACTATCAAACAAAATAAAGTAACAAATAGGTAATAATTAATAAATAATATATATAATAAATCATCAAACAATCATTTAACAATTAGGTCTCTTTTTTTCGTTAATGAGCTTTTTGAGTAAAACGAAGCCGTTTAGGTTTGACATTTGTACAAATGCATTCCAGTACTTACCTATTAAGACATTTAGTAGGTATTTGCTTAGTTTTCTTTTATTAGTAACCACCCATATTAATAAAAATAACTAATAACACTACTATAATTTTATAGAAATTATATATTATAATTTAAAATAACTATCAAACAAAATAAAGTAACAAATAGGTAATAATTAATAAATAATATATATAATAAATCATCAAACAATCATTTAACAATTAGGTCTCTTTTTTTCGTTAATGAGCTTTTTGAGTAAAACGAAGCCGTTTAGGTTTGACATTTGTACAAATGCATTCCAGTACTTACCTATTAAGACATTTAGTAGGTATTTGCTTAGTTTTCTTTTATTAGTAACCACCCATATTAATAAAAATAACTAATAACACTACTATAATTTTATAGAAATTATATATTATAATTTAAAATAACTATCAAACAAAATAAAGTAACAAATAGGTAATAATTAATAAATAATATATATAATAAATCATCAAACAATCATTTAACAATTAGGTCTCTTTTTTTCGTTAATGAGCTTTTTGAGTAAAACGAAGCCGTTTAGGTTTGACATTTGTACAAATGCATTCCAGTACTTACCTATTAAGACATTTAGTAGGTATTTGCTTAGTTTTCTTTTATTAGTAACCACCCATATTAATAAAAATAACTAATAACACTACTATAATTTTATAGAAATTATATATTATAATTTAAAATAACTATCAAACAAAATAAAGTAACAAATAGGTAATAATTAATAAATAATATATATAATAAATCATCAAACAATCATTTAACAATTAGGTCTCTTTTTTTCGTTAATGAGCTTTTTGAGTAAAACGAAGCCGTTTAGGTTTGACATTTGTACAAATGCATTCCAGTACTTACCTATTAAGACATTTAGTAGGTATTTGCTTAGTTTTCTTTTATTAGTAACCACCCATATTAATAAAAATAACTAATAACACTACTATAATTTTATAGAAATTATATATTATAATTTAAAATAACTATCAAACAAAATAAAGTAACAAATAGGTAATAATTAATAAATAATATATATAATAAATCATCAAACAATCATTTAACAATTAGGTCTCTTTTTTTCGTTAATGAGCTTTTTGAGTAAAACGAAGCCGTTTAGGTTTGACATTTGTACAAATGCATTCCAGTACTTACCTATTAAGACATTTAGTAGGTATTTGCTTAGTTTTCTTTTATTAGTAACCACCCATATTAATAAAAATAACTAATAACACTACTATAATTTTATAGAAATTATATATTATAATTTAAAATAACTATCAAACAAAATAAAGTAACAAATAGGTAATAATTAATAAATAATATATATAATAAATCATCAAACAATCATTTAACAATTAGGTCTCTTTTTTTCGTTAATGAGCTTTTTGAGTAAAACGAAGCCGTTTAGGTTTGACATTTGTACAAATGCATTCCAGTACTTACCTATTAAGACATTTAGTAGGTATTTGCTTAGTTTTCTTTTATTAGTAACCACCCATATTAATAAAAATAACTAATAACACTACTATAATTTTATAGAAATTATATATTATAATTTAAAATAACTATCAAACAAAATAAAGTAACAAATAGGTAATAATTAATAAATAATATATATAATAAATCATCAAACATTCTTATTTTAATCTTAAAATGTATTATGACGGTATAGGTATATGAGTTCTTTTTTTGATGTTATGTAGTAATGTTTAAATTATTTGGTATGGGTAGATGATAATATATGAACTATATGAAGTAAAACGTGACTACTAATACTGTAAACATAAGTTTAATAATGTTCTCTCGCTCCAAGTACGAGCTTTCTACCACTAGAGTTATTCGATTTACGGTTTATTTTTATTTTCACATTAGTAAAATATTTCATGAAAATGTCATGACATAGAAAACAAAACATTCTTGAAAACGTATAACACTAAATTTATATTACACATAATATTAAGTTATAACTTATGTCTTATAATATATTAAGTTTACTGTTTAATAATATTCAAGAGCACGGACTTACCGGTATGATTGCGTTGAACCGGTATACGTAGATATATTATGTGCGCGCACGTGTATCTACCGCCATCGCCACCGCCGCCGCTGCCTCCTCGTGTAGCGCGCGAGCCCAGCTGTCCGTTTGATGGTTGTGCCATTTAAAAAAAGAAAATAATAATAATAATAATAATAATAATAAGTAATAACGATAATATATTATCAAGATAATGCCTTTTCCACCGCCTCTAAACGTTATTCTACATTTTCGTTGTTATTATTTTGTTCGCAGAGTGATGCTAGAGATGGGCGACAAGACTGCCGCCGCATGGACCGCTTGGTGGATCCTCACGTTTTCTGTAAGTACATAAACGTATATTATTAAAATATATCATCGTGTGAGCATTAATATCGGTGCTACACTTATCAGCTACCGCTACACTGTTACCTGTAAGTGCACGATGTATTATTGTTATTTGTTGTTGTTGTTTTTGTTGTTGTACTAGTTGTTACTTTAAATACCACAGTATTATATTATACATTTATTATTATCAGACCGCACCGTCGCACGATCGTGCGTTGTATCTATGCATAGAGGTACTTTCCATCGCTGGATGTTGCGGGAAATATACACTGAGAATCTCCGGGAATGTTGGGAAAATGTATTGTTGTCGGTAGGATCTAAATAAGACAAGGAATCTTGAAAAGAAAAACCCATTTTACAAAATCGCTTGTTTAGTATTAGTAAAGTAGTAGCGTTCGCGCTGCAATACGTTAGTATCGGCGCACAATGAAAATAGGTCCGTCATAAAAAACATCTCGTTTCGAATCCCTTAAATTTATTTAATTTCAAAATGTCTTACTCACTTGGAAGCAATTGACCAAATAGCCTTTTTTACTGTCGCCGTTAAATGTATATTTTGAAAATCACGTTTTGGCTTTTGCTCAGGATCAGAGGCAAATATATGAGGCAGGAGCGGTTTATGGGGGACTTAGGCCCCTCAAAATAATATTTTAAAATTATTTTAGCAGGATAATTATTATTCTGAGACAAAAAAATATATTTATATGAAATGTCAAAATCAATACTGATTATTGTGGAGCGGTGGTTGGCCGCAGTTTCAAATGTGTGCTGCGGTCCATCCGTCGTCGCTAGCTCCCAGATGGGTTGGGATGGGTGACCACCCCGATTTTTAGCAAAGAAAACTAGCCCCACTTACACACGTGTTGCTCAAAACCAACCCCCCTCCCCTCACAATTAATCATAAACCCCCAGAAAATGTAATTAGCCATAGTTGCCAATGTTTCAAAAACAATTTTAAAAAAAATCGTGATTATTAAATAATATTATATGTCCAACTTTAATCTCAGAACTATAAATACTAATAACACCAGGGATAAGTCATAAATGACAAATAAACTGTTTAAGCAAATCATAGAAGTGCCTACACCTAACCTGTCTACCTACAGCCGACCACCAATAGAGAAACTAACATTTTCAATAAAAAATATAAAATAAAAAATAAAAATAAAATAATAGTACTTATTAATATAATGAAGACCTATGATAATTTTTAGTTTTTAAAAGTGAATAATATATATATATTAATAATTTATTCAAAGTAGCTATGTATGGTTGTAAATATTAAATTGACTTGCAATAAATACTAAATTTAGTTAAGTTTTAAAGCTGATTGCGAATCACATATATATGTAATATATGTGCATGTAGATGGTTTTAATATAATAATACGCAATATCATACCCCAACCCAGTATAAATATGTATAAACTATATAGTCGTGTAGAAAATAGTATACATATTATATCTCCGTCTACTTCAACAGGTATCCATTATCTAGTTGATATGTACACACATTGGCGTAGCTAGGGGGTTTCGGTGTTTAAACCCCCTTCCATTGACATTTTTTCTCCTAATAAATGTAATGTTTATATTGTTTATTTACGAAAACTGTAAAAATGTAATGTAATTTATACTTGAACCTCCCCCGTTTCATAATCATGACACGCCACACCCGCGTTACACATATACATCTTACCAGAACTCATATCTTTAAACTGGGTGATCGTTTCATATAGTTTTCAAAATAATGAGTGTGTCACGTTAAATATGGATCACCCGGTGTATGTTTGGCCTGGAATTGCGCACGCATGATAAGTATGACCTGTTGATATGTATACCTACTTTCAGAATATAGTCCCATGAATTTGTTACCGTAGGTTATGTAGTTTTGGGCGTGATGGGAAAACGGGTCTACATCACTTTATCACTACACATACGTACAAATTATTGTAATATCTATAATATTTCCTAGAGGAATTTTCACCGAAATCGTCCGTTATTCAATATATTATTAGGTAGGTAGGTAGGTAGGTAGGTAGGTTAGGTATACGGTCGTTCGTGTAAACAGCGGTGTACCACCATCGAACGCGACTCGGCGATGTTTCCGCGCGTAGGTTTTGCGCCAAATAGTCGAAATGTCAAGCCGGGTCAAAGACACATGCCAACCGGAGGACCCTAATACGCGTATATTTATATTATATATATTATTATATTTGTGTGCAGACGCGATCGTCTGCGCATATAATACACGCACTTAATAACTTTTGAAACTGGTAGGTATGTCCATGAAACGCGACGCGTCCCATTAAAATAGCGTAATAATATTGTTTTATAAAACAGCAGTGGTATAGAAGAAAAAAAACTGTCGGACGACGTTTAACATAAATACATAATATCTAAATTTACATAAACATTTTTTTTTTTTTTTTTATATTACAGGTTTTTTTTCAAGTTCTAGGACACGGCGAGTTTTAATAATATAATTACACTATATCATTCGGCAGGTTATAATATACGCCCAGGCGTTATTGTTCCCTCGGCGCTCGATTCCTCTCCACCGTTGCCTTTCTACGATATATATTAATACACGAGTATATAGTTATAGTAATAATAATAATAGTAATAATAATATAATATGATGATATCTGATTTCGAACAACCGATTACGCGCGATATTCGATACGTACACGCGGTTCGATGGGTAGGTATCTATATAGGTAGGTAATAATAATATATAGAATATAGATAGCTATACGGGCTATTATAGGTCTAACCACCTACCGTACGCTAAATAATATAATATTGTATTATGTTATATACTTACATTTAATACGACGTGTAGCCGTGTAGGTACTTCTTATTCGTGAAGCCACCGATCTTTCGCCGTCAGCGTAATATATATGATATCGAATTAATAGTGTTCTCGTCGCCGCCTCTCTAGAACGTCCGTTGTGTCAGATCGTTATACATTTATACACACATTTATATCATTGTACAATGCAAATATTGCATTATTATATATAAACAAGGATGAGAAATTTAACACATTTTTTTAACTCGTCAAGTTAAGTTAATACAGACAAATGTATAAGTTAAATGTAAAAGAAAGGGTAACACTTTGTTAAAAATCATTAACCTACATTTTTTTTAAAACTAAATTTTATAACCCATGCTATTATGCTAAAGCACAACGAGTAGATTTGATAAAGTTATAAACAATATTATAATATACACGAAAATAAAAATGTACTATAGTATAAATAATAATAAATAGATACACCATACACGAGTAATTAATGGAAGAAATAACAGAAAGGAAGGGCTTTTGCATGTTGATCTTTATAACAGAAATGATTTCTCATTAACTAACTATCTAAATGACTATTTAGGTTAATTTTTAAAAGATTACGGTACCTCAATGTTTTTTTAAGGGTCCAATTCTGATAGGTGGTAGTGTTATTGACTATTGTTGGGAGATTTTAAATTAATATTTTTGGACGAGACTGTAAATTTACACGTATTTCATGTTTTGAATTGTATTTATACTCGCAAAAGTTATTTTGTTCCATATTGGAATCCTGAAATAGTGCATCAACACTGATAATTAACAATTTAGTATTTAAAATACATGAGATACATTATAAATTTACCAATAATCTTTACTCCTACCTATTGCTTTTTTTAAATATAAAAACAATATTTCGTACAAAACACAATATATTTTAAATCTATATGTGGTTTATATGTATACTAGGAAAAAAATTGACTTAACGTGACTATAAAATTAATTGTCTGTTTACTGCTTAGTCGATCACGCGGAACAATTTTAACGCGTTAAGTTTGAAGGTACTTAAAAAAAAAATAACTCGTTATGTATAACTTTGATAAAAGTAACTCAACTTTAACTTTTCAACTAGCTTATGACCAGCCTTGTATATGTATAAATATGCCATTTATGCTACATTATCGTGGTTAGATGGTGCCTCTGCGCCACCCCCCCTCCACCCCCCTTCCGGCCAACGATGAATAACCTAGTAAAACAGTAATAATTGCGCCCGACGATTAGCCACAATAATATGTCGTGGGTATAGTACACACGCACAATGTTTTGTCTTTTGCTCCGCGAAACTGTTATATTGCGACGGTTTCACGGTAAGATATCTCCGAACGAAAAACGTCTGTATGTTCAAGCAGTCGCACGCGGATGATGACAATTATTATATTCATACATATATACACAGAATAATAGATATTACAATATTATGCAGAGACAACGGTAATAATTTTCGACAATCATAATATTACTATGTTACGTCATGTGCAATACAGCCATTTTCGAGATATTATCGGCCACTGCGGATCACGCGGTCACAGAGGATTTCGATAATCGCAACATTAATAACGGATATACATAAACATAATATGATATGTAATAATATAATAAAGCCCGCAAATATCTTGCCCCTTCCACCAGTGTACAAGTTGATAATTAAATTTTGTGACCATTGTCTTCGGTTGGGCTATAGTCAATGGACGTGGGGTTGTTCTCCTCCTTCTTGTGAGGTCATAAGCAGGCGGTTCAAGTCACGTGCTTTACTGGTTACCTAAACTGGTGTACCGTTGGTTTTGAATGAAACACACACAACTGGTTTTCGTGTGCTCCCTATATTGAGCAACGGCTGTAATATACGTATATTCTGTGTTAAGTTTTTTTCTTCTTTTTATTCCACTTTATATATACCGTATACACGTTTACTACAAGTTGCGGCGATCGGCGACAATGACGGCGTGCGTTAAGCTTCCACTTACTCGATTCACACACCCCCGGAGAGAGAGCAAACTAAGACTATTTACCATAGGTAGGTTAAAATGTTTTGGTAAATTATTACAAAAATAACGACGATGTATAATGATAGCGTTGGTAGAATGGTAGGTAAAATACTGTTGTGGCTATACTCCAGCAGAAACACCGATGAGCAAACGCTGTTCGGGGTTT